TAACTTCAAAGGACAGGAAAGAAAGCCACACTTTCCCACAGGCCATACAGTGCCACTTTAAGAGTTTTTTTTCCCAATTTTTTTATTGTGCTTTGGGTGCAAATTTACTACTTGTTTTACATTCAGCAGTTCATGCATATCTGATTTCACAGCCCTGATAACCATCCCCAACCATAAAAAAAACTCTCCTCTTCTCTCCTCCCTGTGACCACCCTCACCCTGTGCCCTTCTTATCTATGCATTCCTATCTGTCCAGCTTTCCCACTATGTGAGTGCTATCCCTCTGGTGTCTCATGGCTGCTTAGTCAAAGGGATGCATCTCCCCAGAATAGGTGGGTGCATTGACCTGGGGTAGGTGTTCTGTATGTAGGTCTTTCTACTATTGGGCTGAAAGCCAATCCATGTAAGTGAGTACATTTCTAGGCCAAAGGGTAACCCAGGGCCATAATCTTGTGGGCTCTACCAGTCTCTTTCCAACCAGTAATTCTGGTCATTTTTGTGTTTTTGAATTTTGTTCCAGATTTTTCCTCCCACTCTACCCAGGATCTTCAGATTTGATCCCTTTCTGAGTAGTTAGCATTAATAGCTGGGCACAATCTAGTTCTGGTCTCAGGTCATAGAGGCTGAGGTTCTCGTGGTCCATCTTATCTTTGGACTAATTGTTTACAGATGACTTTGATTTTCTTCATTCACTGTAAGATGGTTTTATTTTGGCAGTAAAATCTCTCAGTTATTCTTGGCAAAGAATGAAATGCACACCTTGAAATCCGCTGAGTAGTAAGTACAGTTTCATCCTGTAGGTTGGAGGCTAAATGTTGTAGGAGACCTTATTTAGTTGTTTTACTTTACTTACAGAGAGGCTTCATATTGTCCATTCTTGCATAATTTACAGGGGGTTTCTGTCATTTTGGTGAAGTCCCTGGGTGGTACAAACGATTAATTGCCTTGGCTGCTAACCAAAAGATTGGAGGTTCAAGTCTAGCCAGAGGTGACTCAGAAGAAAGGAATGGCAATCTACTGCTGAAAAGTCAGCTACTAAAAGTCCTGTGGAGCACAATTCTACTCTGCCACATGGGATTGCCATGAGTCAGAGTTGACGCAATGGCAGTTGGTTGGTTTGGTATCATTTGGCTTGAGTGGGATCTGGACTGAGGCTGGAGAAAGACATGTGCTTTGGTTTAGAGCAGTGGTTCTCAAAGTGGGGTCCTTGGACCAGCAGCATCACAAGGCCATTTGTTAGAAACACAAATGTTCAGGTCCCACCCAACATCTCCAGGTGATTTTGATGCACAATAGAATTTGAGAACCATTGGCTTAGTATTTTATGGCTTTTTGAAAATAATGGTGGGAGAGAGAGCCTAAGACTGATCTGCTGGATCTGTTGAATTTGTGTAGGCAAAGGTGGTCCAGGAGCTCTTTCAAGGAGGGAGACCTTTGGTGGCAGATACAGTGTACAAATGCCAGGTCCTGTTGGAGCCCTAGGGGACTTCTTTTTTTTTTTTTTTT